CTACAAGACCCTCAAGCGAACAAAACCTTGCAAGCAGAGAAAGGCTGGAAACGCCTTAAGAGCAGTTTAATGACTATGACTAAGAACTCAAGAAGCATGTTCAATTCAAGATGCCTTTAATAGTACCACACTGAACTTGACACATGATTTCTATTTCTTCACCGAAAAAACAATCAACTAGAAATATAAACATTGCGCGTGGGCAAATTTAAACATTTCCAATAAATTTAAATTATTTCCATCTGTATTATGAGGAGTAATAGAAATTTTTGGAATCAAATATGGATAGCGTTAAAATTCAGGTTAATATAACATATCAAAGCATTCATTAACCACTTGTTCGTAATGCTGATAATAGCTGATAATATGATAAATATCTTCTTCTTCCGAACAAACTTGCCCAACAGTTGGCGTTGCATTCTTGAATTGTTCAAGCATTCTGGAAAAAAAGATATGCTTAATTATTATTTCGCATAACAATGCTTTATTTTGAGGGATTTACCATGGAAGAGAAAATAAATGCTATGGAAACTGCTAACATCATTGTACCTAAAATCACTTCATAGCTTTTAAACTTTAATTTTAATTAATAATGAGAAATAATTAATTTTAAAGAAAAAGAAAATGTTGTCCTGAATAAACAACATATGATTGTATTGCGGATCCTTAGAATCGAATTTAAACAAATTTGAATTTTCAGACGAACGACATTTTGAATTTTGCTAAGAACCCATATTTGGTAAAATAAAACAAGGGCGCTTATGCGCCAAACAGCGCCGTAAGGTATCTTTCAGTTATGTTTTTCCTGTATAAATTTCTCTTTTAATACTGTTAAAGTTATTAATAATAAAAGTTTCAATAGCAGAAAAGACGTCAAATTGAATGATGGAATTTCAATGGTAGAAATAGATTAATCGAATAAAATCATTTTAAATTAAAATGTGGCTTTATAGGGAAAAGTCGGTTAAGAAGTGAGAGGACGATCGAACGTAGTTTCACTGTATATGTGTAAAGTGTGTGTGTATCTTCGAGCGGAAAATGGATGAGCGAGAAAAGTTACAATACAAAAACGCCTCTACTTCTCAACATTCTCATGATTCTTTAAAGTAAGTGTTAAAAATGGTTCATTGCATAAATGTTTCCATTAACATAAATAAGCGCAAATGTGACAATTTAAATCGTATTCTAAAATATGTATTACATATATCTTCCAGTAATGATCGTATTTTTTTTTCTGGTTTTTCTCAAATAGTTTACTGTTAGTTTAACTATGAAGGAAAATGATAATATTTAGTTATAGGATGGAAATAACAGAGGAAGGAAATTGGACGAATGTTAAAACAATTCACCAAAATGATCTAAATGCTCATTCATCAACAATTGATAAAAATGATAAAGACGCTATCATGTCTTATTCAACAAGTAAGCTCAACATGCTCAAAATTTTTACTTCTCCTCTATCTTTATTTAAACAAATTTTTTAGTTTTGTAATGAAACGATTGATTAATGAAAGTAAAAGTGAGGATGAATTTCAAAAATTTGCATAAATCCTAAAAAATTTATGTTAAATTTTTTTTTAAAAAAATAACTCTTGGACCATTATCTTAATTCAGTCACAATTTTTATTCATCTCAAACATTTAATTATAAAATCTCTATGAAAATATCCTGCTTTCTGGTTTCATTTATGCTATATTTTTTCTTTGTTTTTTGAATTTTTAACAAGCAACAAGTAAAATATAATCTGTATGTATTGAAATAAATTTTAACATTTCGTAGATTATCAAATAGCTAATTAATTTGATGAGATATTTAATTAAATAAAAAAGGATGAAATGCATTTGTAATTGATTTTATTTTAGATCGTGAAAAAGTTTATCACAAAAATACAGGAACCATTGAAGAAATACATGTTCTGGAAAGCTCAGGTAGAACTACTCGAGATTTTTCCGAGGAACATTGGTCATCAGAAATTAAGTCATACGTAATGCCTGAACCACCTAAATTTATGCAGGTATTTGACAATTCTTTTTGATTATCAAGTATCTTAACAGGTAATAAATTAGCCGATTTACTAAATCAATTAAGTTGTTAGTTTTTATTTTTTACATTACAAATTAGATTTAAAAATGAGTGCAAAAATGATTTGCATTCGTTTCATTCCGAAAGTTTCCTTTTCTATAAGTTTATGATTAATTATATTTCCTTTCCATCCTTATGATATTCCATTTCTCTTCAGGTAATCAAAGCATTTCGAGTGTTAGCCACTGATACGTTAACACTTGTTGTTGAAGTACAAAGCGATCCACCAGCTATTTTTGAATGGTTCTGTAATGACAGACCAGTGCAACAAAATCGACGCAAATTTAAGGTTTAACTCTTTTTATATTTTTGAAAATCACTGATAAACTTTTTGGAGTTCTCAAGATCATGATATAGAATTTTAATAAAAAAAACCAAATGATTTTCAAAAATAAGTAAGATTTGTTTGTAATATAAAAGTAAGTAATCGATAATTTAGGCACGTCATGGAATCAACATTACCACCCTGACCGTTGAGGGCCCGGAACAGGGTGTTTATAAATGTACCGCAAGGAATCCCGTTGGTATATCCACCACTTATGGCTATGTTACCGTCAACGGTTATGTCTTTTCTATTTCATCATTTAAAGTCTCAAAAGCATTCAAAAGACAACTGTAAAAATAATGCCACAATAAGTCGTTCATTAATTGCTACCATATGCAAATTACAATTTAAAATATTATTCCTCATATTAATTAATAACCTTTCACCTTTTTCATCGAATGTAAATCAATTCGCAACTATTTCTGATGAAATATTTTTTTAGCTCCGCCATCATACAAAACATGGTTGGAGCAAACACATGAAGTTAATGAAGAAACAAGAATGGAAATTATCGATAAAGAAAATCTCCGTAAATTAATTAATTATTTTTAGTAATTAGAGATTGTAACGAATTAATGATTTCGAATTCTTGAGTTATTTTGAGAATAATTCCATGTTTTTTTGTAAGATATCATTTTTTTGAGACATTATTTCAGAAATAACGACTGATATGCCTCCCAAATTTATCCAGCAGATACCGAATTTGACACTACGACCGGGCACTGAAGCACTTATTGATGTTGAAGTGGAGGCATCACCACCAGCTAAGTAAGGCTTGTTTCTTGATATTAATATTTTAAGCCTGCCTTAAAGCATGTACCAAAGAGTAACACAGAAGTTCAGAATGTCATTTTGAGTTTTCATTTGATGTCTCCACGAATACGTCAAATATAAGTTGAACATTTACATTAACCAGCATGATATTTTTACTTCTCGAAATCTCTCATAATAATATGTTATAAGAGTAAGGGAACAGAAAATTTCCTTTAAAAATTTTTTCCAATAATAATGCGAGTTAAAATCTTAAAATATCATATTGTCCGTTAGTGGCTTCCAAAAGATGTAATCTAAGTGTAATTTATCCTAAAATTGTTACATGAAAATGAAAAATGATTTTTTTCTTGACATCCTAGAATGACACTTCTTCTCCATAATATTATTTTGAAATGACTTTGAAAGAATTTTAAAGAAGAATTGTAGCAATAATAACATGGGAAAATGAATGCATCCATTTTTAAAAATCTTTCCCTTTAACATTACAATACTACTATCAAATAGAATAAAATATAGTCAAAAAAAGAGGTCAGTAACGGATATATGATGCATTTACTATTCTAGATTTACTTGGTATGTTAATGGTGTCCAATTTTGTGATACTGTTAAACAGATTGAAATTTATTACCCAATGGCCAATCGTTGTATTGCCCGATTTCCAATTCCCCAAAAGGGTGAATATAAAGTAACTGCGGAAAATAGAGCCGGTAAAGAACACAGTATCGGATATATTGATATCAAAAACGGTAACAATCATTTCTCCAACAAAATATTTTTTCATTGAATTATAATTTATAACATGGAATAAATACTATCTTTGCTTTATATAAGAACGAAATAGACAGTAGAGGGGGGGAGGGGGAAAAAAAAGTGCTGAAATACTGGTGAAGGTGGAAATACATAATACTTGTTTGCAGAAGTTATGTATAATCAAACACAATTACCACCTCTCCCAGGTGATCATGTCTATCATCACTTGTCGCATACCGAATCTGAGCATCGTAAGGATTCTTATACCATTCTATTTTAATTTTAGATAGAAACTCAGAATAATTTGAACTTTTTGGAAATTATTTTATTTTAAAAGTTTTTTTTTTTTATCAAAACTAATAACAAAAAATTAATTGGAATTTATAAATGTTATAGGTGAAATACCATTACAAGGCCGAGGACGAGCATCCTCGGTAAGTAGAACGGTTAATTATTATGAAGAAAATAGTTATTATCAACGATCGACAAGCTTGCCCAGACAAATTGGTCATCCATATGAAATTAAAAAAGCAACAGAGATCATTCGCAAACGCAAAGATGGTTTGGTTTTTCTTTATCAGAGAAATTAATACCTCATTTGTTGCTGATAGATTTTCTATTGACTGATAAGAAGTTGTCATCTACAATTTACGTAATGTATGCAAGCATTTCAATAGTTGAAAAATTTAGTGAAGAGAGCGCTTAAGTTAATTTACAATATGCAAGCTTAATATTTGCTTAAAAAGGTCGCTATGGCAGATTTTCAAACCTGATGACCTCTCATAGAGGTTTTATCCATTAATGCTTGACTGAAGTTAATACTTTCATTTTTTTTAGTGATAGAATAGACTGAAGAAAGAAATGATAGAGCATTGAGTACAAGTAACTTTCCAAAAAAGAAAAGCAAGACAATATGCATATTTGCAATGTCCTCTTTCACTGATAGCCTAATTACTAATCCTTTATTGCGACTAAAAATTAGTGCAAATGAAAAATTAGTGTATTGCAACTTCTCAAATCATCTACTTTCATAAAATTAAATATCTGAGAGATTGTCATATATCCTTAGATAGACTAGGATGAGTCAACAAAGATTAGAAAATGTTGTGTGGATGGAAAGTCTCAATGCTTTATACTATCATGAGTTATACTTTACACTTGATACTTTATACTCCATTATATTATCATAGTAATACTTAGTTCATTTTGAATGAAATTTTCTTGTTATCAAAATGTGTGCATCTTTTCTGATAACAAAATTCGTATACATTTTTAGCTGAAAAAAAAGGCTTGTTTCATTTTATTTGCGCATAGAAGTCATGTCTTTTTTTTAGAAAAGCATGTTTTTTGAAGTGATTAAATTATTTGAAAGTTTTTTAGCAAATCTTCATTATCATTGCATTTTATTTGCTGCTTTAATATATTTTTCTTTTTTTTTCGTATATATTTTCTTTTTTTTTTTGCTAAACCAGTTTTTTAGATTCAAGTCAGTTGCAACAACAACAACAACAACATGAACAACAGTATCTATCTTCAAGAGAGTTGGTTGAAACAGAAGACGAGCAAATACAGATGGTGAAACGTCGACGTTACAGTGAAACAATGCAACATTTGCTACCACAAAAACCAGTTTTTACCACCAAACTACCGGTAGAAGTTGCGATTGGTTCGGATGAAGATTTGGTGCTAAATGTTGGTTTTCAAGCAATTCCAAGAGCAGATGTGAAATGGAATGTGAATGGATTTGAACTAAAGGATTCAAAAAAGGTTATAGTAATCAATGAGGAGGATCATTCAACGCTTATCGTTCATCCACCAGTTCGTTATGGACGTTACAGTGTTACAGTAGGGAATGAATACGGTATGAGCAATCAAACTACACGAGTGTTTTATGATGAGGAAAAGCAATATGAGGTGGTCAAAGAATCACACTTACTATCGGATGAAATCGTAGAATATCCGGTATCAGCTTGTACTACTACCGCATTGTTTGATGGATGGGAATTGGTTGATGAGCAGCAACGATCTAGCAAATCGGCTGATTCGTTTGAAACTGTTAAACATGTGGAAACAATTCGAGCAGCTACAGAAGGTTATGAAACACCAACTGCACGTGATCAAACACCTACTTCACGTTCGTCTACGTACATCATGAGACAATATGAAGAAAGTAGTGATGAAAAAAGTGCAGTTAGTTATGAAGCACCAAAAATTCCACCACAACCATTACCGAAGCCATTAACACCCATTGTCCATGAACCGATACGAGGAGTTTCTGTAGTTTCTGATGTATCGCGCGTATCGCCTTGTACAGAAAAAAGATACGAAGAAGTCACAAGTGGTATATCGAAAACAGTTTATGAAGCATCACGCCCATCATCTTTACCATCGAAGTTTGCTGAACCGATGTTACACAAACCGCTAACAGATACGACATTTGCGCGACAAATATACGAAGAAACTGTTTGTGGGGGAAGCGAAGTTGTGATTGATAGGGTACCATCACCAAAAGCACAATTACAAAAAGAAATTGAAGATAGAATTGCGGGAAAGAAAACATTCCGTATTCCAGTACATCGTGTTATGGAACCAATTCCCAAGCATCCGGTCATTTTGAGACAACCAGAGCCTGAAATCCGACTGAAAGCAGGTGAAAAACTTGTGTTAGAGTCTAAAGTTGATTCGTCTCCAGCATCCCAATTCAAATGGTACCAGAATAATTTTGAAGTACGGCCATCACCATCTGTGATTATTGAGAGTCCGGCAATAAATGAAAGTCGGGCTACATTTTTGAAACCAGTAAGTGGTACTTATAAAGTGGTGGCTTCCAATATTCATGGTTCGTGTACCAGTACAACCCGTGTGATTACTGAAGTTAGCGAGCAATGGATGACAGAATCTACTGTTTCTATGATTCGGACATTGCCGGAGAAGCAGGAACCAAAATATCAGCTTGTAAAGAGATCTCATAATGGAACACGAAATGATTTACCCAAAGCGCCACGAATTGTGGAAGGTTTCGCTTCCGTTCTCAAAATCGCTAGTAATGAACCACTCGTATTGCGTGTTACTGCAGATGCAATACCGGAAGCGGAATTTCGTTGGATGCTGAATAATTTCGAAATAAGACCAAGTCAGACGATCTCTATTCAAAGTTTCGGTCCAAATGTTTCACAAGCTACATTCCAAAATCCGATAAGTGGACGCTATGAAGTGATAGCCACTAATTTATTAGGTCAAGATTCGTGTTCTGGGAAAGTAATTGTTGATTATGCAGAAGAAGCGCAAGTTGTTCCAATTCAACCAATCAAGAAGCCATCTATTCCTAAAGTCCCCGTATTTATAAAGCCACTACCAGGAGAAACACAGTTATACTCTACTGAACAGGAATTCCGTCTTTCTGTATTGGTCCACGGTGAGCAACCGATTACGTTCCGTTGGTTTGCGGATGGCAGTCTTCTATCGAATAGCGTTGAACACCAAATGATAAACGATTTGGAAAGTAGTACATTAGTGGTAAGGAAAGAAATTGGATGTGATGTTGATTATGCAGTTGAAGTTTCCAATGCTTACGGAGCTGTGTGGTCCGAAACCACGGTACAACCATTGTCACCATCGACATCTGTGGTTACTAGTACAACTTCAGCGGAAGGTTCACTACGAGAAATGTTTGATGCACAGCGATCCTCTCCGCGCTATACCATCGCATTAGTGGATCAGACTTTGCAACAAAATGCTGAGTTTACCGCACATGTGACTATTAATGAAGAATCCAGCCCATGTGAGTTTGTCTGGACGCTCAATGAACGTGATATTCGCACAATCCCTGGATTCCGCGTTGAATCAACATACCATCAATCTACACTGAACGTCAAATCAGCTTTATCAAAGCATTCTGGTGAACTGTCAGTTGTAGCGAGCAATAAATATGGTACTGCAAGGTCAACGGCTAAAATCACCGTTCACCCATGTTAGTCTTCGGATTCAAATTAATTCGGACCATTTTTAATTTTTTTGAAATTTTTGATTATTCCTAATTTTTTTCTATTCTTGAGAAAAGTTAAAATTTTTTGTTTCTGGCATAGAAGTTATGTTTAATTCATTTCATTAATATTCAAAACTAACGTTTACTATTTTCGAGTAACCGGCAACCGATTTCGTTTACTATTGTTTGCTTAAACTTTTGGATTTAGAAGTAGTACTTTGATAATTTAGAGGTATTTATTGTTATGATTATGTTCACAGTATCTTATTAACATAGAATTATTCCCAATGATTTCTTCTAGAAATTTTATCAATGATTTAAGGAGAGATGCACGGTATTCTAAATTTTCGGGATTTTAAAAAGCATATTGTCATAATTATTTCATCTTAGCTAATTATCTTATCTTTGCCCATGAAAAGGTATTTTCCTTTTAAAACACAGAAATTTTTTGGGGTTTTAAATGGAAAATAAAAAATAGTCCATTATTCGAAATTAAAATTCAAATTTTTTCTCTGAAATCATCATAAAAGCATCTTTTATCACTTTTCAGTACTTGAAGAATTGTATGAATTTATTTCGGAAATAGAAACGATACCAGCTGAAAGGCCACCACGAGTTGTTTCACCTTTACAGCCTTCTGTTCTGCGAGTGGGTAAGTAATTTTTCAAATTTTCTTCAATTCTGGATACTGCAACAGATCTCGAAATGCTGTAAGACTATCATTTGATCTTTCGATATGATAAATTCACAGAATTAATACTTCCTATAATGTCGAAATTGCCGAAGTTTTGGACATGCACTATGATTTTATAGCGAAATTAAATTTTCTATCTTCTCTTGCTTACTAACCTATAGAATATTTGAATTATTATCGGAATTTCATTACCATAGAATCTATAGGTGAATCACTGAAATTACGTTGTCGTGTTGATGGTTTGCCATTACCGGAAGTATTCTGGACCAAGGATGGAATTCGTATTGACGATGGGATGGCAGAAAAAGAGCTTATCACTGTTCAATATCCGGATGGTAGATACGAACTGATTAATCCTCAATGTGCACCGGAAGATGCTGGTTTGTATCAGTTAATAGCTCGTAATATCCATGGATCCGTGAATACTTCAGCTTATATTCACATTGAAAGTAAGTAGTTCCGGATTCCGGAATGCAATTCTTTGCGAGGATTTTTTTCTTGCTATGACACAATGTGATACTGGAAAAAATAAAAGGATTACATGAATTTTATGATTGGTTTTATTTTTTTTATTTATTCAAATTCACTTTATATATATAGACTTTTTTTTGGACGGTAAAAGTTATCGTTTCAGGACAAGAAACAGTGAAAAGGACAACAACGGAAACAGTAAAAATTTCAACTTTTCATTAAAAATTTCACGAAATTTTGCAATTCTAGTTTTCGTTAACTAATTTTTCAATGTAATTGAGTTGACATACATACTTGAGTTGACATACATAGCTTTCTCAAGCTAACCATAATTTCATAACTTGGAAGTTATCGTAATAGTTTAATGAGATTTTATTAAACTTATCAGATTATTCAATTGCTCAACCAGTTGATCCATTTAGAGAGGTGAAATCCAAGTGATTCATCGAGCACCATCAAAACCTCGATTTAGTAAGGTAATATCGAAGCAATATGAACAAGATACGGTTGTAAGCTGTGATGTGATAAGTGAAACACCAGTAGTGATATCGTGGTACAAAGATGGACAACGTCTTTATTCCACCTATAAGTATCGTATGCAAAAATTATCTGACAACACGTATACTCTTACGATATGCAATATCGACAAAAGGGATGAAGGTATAAGCTATCTGATATGATTATATCAATGAACAAGTAGGAAGCATGGAAATGAAGAGGAAAATGAGATTAGATAGATAAATAGCATTTGGATCATTTGGGACAAAAAGGTTAGATAGATAAATAATGGGGTCGAACTGATCAAAAAGTTAGATAAATGAGTGGTAGAATCCAATACGATAACTGCTATGATAATTGGCATCCCTAAAATATTCCTCTATTTTTTTGTTCACCTTTTTTAGTAAGCATTAAGAAGAGATTGATAACTGATAACTATGTTGATATTTCGATGACTCTTCTGATAATTTGTTTGCATAACCATTTCTCATTAATTTTTCTATATCATAAAATAAAATAGTTTTGTTAGAAATACGATACACTGTAGATCTTATAAGAAGTGCTTTTTATTATAGGCTCATATATCTGTCGTGCTGAAAATACATATGGTATCTCAGAAACAGGCATCTATATCCGATCATTAGCTAAAACCCAAGAGATAAGCGAGGAAATATTGATTGAAGAAAATGCTAGTGAAGTAATTGGATTACAGGATGATATTGGCTATGCGAAGAAAGTATGCATATCTTTTAATTTTTTTAAGGATAAATTTTAAGCGTTCATGAAGATTAACCACAGATAAGTTTGTAAAATAATAAAATGAAAAAAAAAAAGTCAAAGAAGAGAGGTAAGAAGTCTGTAAATAATTGAATTACTTTTATCTCCGATTCTTATATTTTGAAATTTGAAATATAATAAATTTGATGATTAATTTTTTTTGTAAATTTTTCAGAAATACATTGACACAACGGTTAAAGTATTGGTAGAGCCTGAAGTAAGCGGTAGTCAAGAAATGTACAGTCATACCGCGGAATTACGAAAGACCGAAGGTTTCATTATTCATTTTTAATGCTTTCAACATGAATTACATTTCATTTCTTACTGTAACATCTAATATAAATCAATTTCAGCAGAGTACAAGTTATTAGTAAAAGTTGCCGAAATTGTTGCAAGTAAATTAGTTGCTAAAGTAATAATTGATGAAGCAATAGATACAGCATTGAAACGAATGGATGTCAAAGGTCAATCGAGTGAAGAGGAAGAATTCGAATCAATCAATGAACGACATCCATGTCCACCAAGGTATATTCATAGTTCAAATGATCATAGATCATATGAATATTTCCATTTTATACAACATTATGTGATAAGAGGAACACTAATATATTATGTTATCTATAGATTTGAAACAAATGTCGAATGTTATACTGTTGATGTTGGTGATACTGTTATGTTGCATACAGATATTAGTGGATATCCTCAACCAAGGATTGAATGGTACTTCGGTGAGCACAAACTTGAACAATCCGAGTAAGTTTAAATCATTTGCATATATCAATTACAACTATATATAAGGTTTAATTTGATTTACTATTTACTTTACTTTAATCTTTTCATCTAATTAGTTTTTTTTTTCAAATTCAAATATTCACTAATAATATAGATCTAAATTCATGTATTTATGTAACTTCATTTTTATTTTTTCTAACCAAATAAGCTGAATTTGTTTGAAAGGTTAGTTTTGATGTAAGAATGAACTGAGAAGGAGAAGGATTCCAATGTCCCCATCGCTTTGGGTCATTATGATCTGTAGAAATTTATTTTTCAGACAAATCGAAGCAAAGTATGTGAATGAACAAGCTATACTAACAATTAAGAAAGTGGAGAAGAAACATGAAGGTACTTATTACTGTCATGCTGAGAACGATTATGGAAAAGCAGTGTTACCATGTAATTTATGCGTGACTGATACCGCCCATGGTGCGTTTTTGTCTTGAATTTTTTCACTGCTAAAATTGAATTTGAAATTTTTATAATTTTTGACCTCATAACGCATGGAATAATGTAACTAGCAATGAGCGTTAGAAATATCAAAGACGATGGATGTTTCATTTATCAATTCGAATTTTCTAATAAAAAATGAAATCAGAAATCTTGTGACATTTGGATCATGAAGACGAGCCATTTTTTGTGTGTTAGACTTTGTGTCATCGATTGCAAACAATTGTCTGAAATTTACAGAATGGTCCGAATCCACGTACAAAATGACTAGACCGCCGCTGACCTACACTTTATCAGAAACTGAGGCGGAAGTATCTTCAAATGTTCACGTCACTCATGCTACAGAATCCTATGATCATTATTTCTCCACTATTCAACCAGAAACCTTTGCATTGGGTTATTCATGTCTTGCATCAACAAGTAGAGTTCACGATGATTCCGTGATCATAACCCGTGAATCGATGCAGAAAATGATCGAAAGAGAGCAAGAAACAACGGAAGTTATCTTAAATGTAAATGTTGAACGAACACCAGCAGTTTTCAAGCATGATGCACGTATTTTACGATCGATAGATGAAAGCGTCACCATATCTCGACGTGAACCTCGATATACGAGAGCGGAAGAAGTAATCCAAACTAATAATATATTTCTGATTGGTGATCAACGTGTTCTGCAGCAGCATCAATCTATGGTTAATGCTGTAGCAACGGTTGTGTTCGAAAAGCCGCCACAACGAGCTTTGCATGAAGTTATCTGCTTGTATGACGAAAAGGTTATCAGCGCAAATTTATTTTTCTAAAATTAGAATGGTAATGAATAACTGCGTTTAAGTTAAAATAAGTATTGAATTAAAGTATCAAATAGTTGGTATGGTTAAAACTTTGATGGTCAGCAACAACCCTGCATTGTATCTGTAGGTTAAAAGTCTCGTATAGAAAAGCTTAATTATTTTGGTAAATCAATAATTATATGAGCACTTAATTACTTTATCAGTATTATCACAACAAACCTCATCATTTGATCGAATATTCCTAACTACGAGATGTTGATATTTCATTACTTTATCTTAAATCTAGACTAAATGTAATTAATTTACTCTCTGTAATCATTACCGATTATTATTTCAGATATATGTAAGCAAGGAGAAAGTTCAAGCTGTCAGTACAGTTGATCTTAAAAAAACTGAAATTGTCAGTGAACTTGTCAGTACCATTATGGCTACACAGGTTCCGAAATTTCCTTACTTCAGCAGTAAATATCTGAAAGATTTCAATGCGCAAGTAGTGACACTGGAATTTCCTTGACATTAATGAAACTTATAATCCACAGTCATTTAGTTTAAAGTAATATGGTACCAATGTAAACTACAATACAATATAAATACAGGGAATGTTCCGCGAAGCATATGCAGAAGCAAACGTTGACGTAAGATGTCCGGATGCCGTATTTGATCATTTCATAACAGTTGTTGACTCAGAACAGGAATATTTCAAAGTACATTTGGTTGCACCGGTGCTTGTAAGGAATCTTGCCACTTCCGATTTTCATTTACAACAAAAACCGGAATCATTGCATACAGAATCAGTGTATATTGAATATCCGAGAAGGAATGCCACTGCTGAACAAAGAATTGTTATACTTCAAAGCTCATTCCAAAAATTCAGCGAAGCTATTACATGGAACTTGAAAAAGGTTTCTATTACTTGATTTTCTTCATACAAAATGAATGAAAGTAAAGAAATACTAAAAAATTTTACTATTCCTTTTAATCACCCCATCTGAATCATCCATCTGAATCTTTTATCTTTTAAGGCGAATCTTTTTACGGCTATGTTTAACTTGCAGTTCTAATACACTGAATAATCAAACAATGCTAGTAATGATGAATTTGTGATATAAACATAGTTAAAACTATTTTTAGCAATAAATTCTTATCTAATTTCTCATATATATATATATATATATATATATATATATATATATATATATT